CCAAATCTCCTATCTTGAAACCATTATATCCTGAACTTTTTCTAGTTTATAACTTAAAAATATTAAAATGTAAAACACCTGACATATATGTATATGCTGTATGTACTATATATCTATGTAATGTGTTTAAAAACATTCTGAATTATTTTTGCAGGTTTTCAAGTGTTACTTGGTTTAATTGAAGCTTCATGATAGGCTAGAAGGAGATATGTGGCATTGTTCCACTATAACTCAATACCAATGTCACCTTTTAATGCTGCAACTCAAAGTGTTTCAAAGTGATTATTTGGTTGAACTCCACAGCTCCCCTCTGACACATCGCCTTTATTTCTGGAAGAGTAAACCAAAATTTCATCTGTGTTGTATAGGTCAAGATTTACTTCTTATTTTTTCAAATAATTTTGAGGTTAAGCTGCTCTATTGCTCTAAACATTCTGACAGCATGGGACTGTAGAGATGGCTTAATGTTTAAGAGCACTTGCTGTTCTTCGGGAGAGCCCATGTTCAATTCCCAGCATACATGGTGGAGCACTACTGCCTGTAGCTAGAGTCCCAGTGAATCTAACCTCTTATTCTGGCCCCAAAAGGCACTGTAATCATGAGGTGCACAGACATACATGTAGGCAAAACATTCATACATATAAAATACAAATAAATATTAAAATCTTTTGATTACTTTTTGTAAGAATTTTATTGAATATATAATTTAATATAAAGGTAATTTGTATCTGTAAATTGAATTACTAGTATTATACCATCTGTGACTACCATATATTTATTCAGCTATACCGACATAATATCTTTAAACTCTGAAAATATCTAATGCATTTTTAATTTTATTGAACCTGGAAGAATACCATTTTGTGCCCATTTATATTAAGCAGTTTTCCTATTGATTTCTATATATACTATCATATTCTCTATATTTATTTAATTTCCTCTTTCTTTTACTGTAGCTGAGGTTTTCTCCAGTACTGTCTGGGTCATGGTCAGGACAAATCTCTCACCCTCCAGTCCCGCAGCCACTCAGACCCAACCGAGTAAACACACAGAGACTTATATTGCTTAAAAAATGTATGGCCATGGCAGGCTTCTTGCTATCTAGTTCTTCTATCTTAAATTAACCCATTTCTATTAATCTATAAGTTGCCATGTGGCTCATGGCTTACCGGTACCTTACATCTTGCTTGTCATGTCAGCGGCTGGCAGCGTCTCTCTCACTCAGCCTTCCACTTCTCCTCTCTTCTTGTCCTGCCTATACTTCCTGCCTGGCTATTGGCCAAACTGTTTTATTTATTAACCAATTAGAGCAACACATTTAACATACAGAACATCCTGCAGCACTTCCTATTTTCTTTTTTTTTTCAAAAAGGAAGGTTTTAACTTTCACATAGTAAAATTACATATAACAAAACAATTATCAAGCAAGAATTACAGTTACAATATCCAGTCTATTTATAATAACTAGTCTATTTGTATTTGAAAAATTAAAGAAAATATCCTATCTATCATATATTTGTGAGTCCAAGGTTTCATATCTAACTTACCTTTTACCATAAGTAAGGAAAATTATAACTATCTAGTCTTCAACTACATCAAAGGCCTCAGAAGGATATAATATTACCTGAGAAATGGGAGGACACAAGCAACTTTTGAGAGTCTTGCAAGAGTAGACAGAGACAGCTGGTAGCCTGGACAGTCATCCAAAGTTATTTTGTAAAGTTGGGGCATCTGTCTTCAACCCACAGGTCTAGAATCTCTCAGTCACTTTTCTCTGTGTCCTGTAGAATGTCTGGCAGTTTCCTCTGCAAAGCAGGAACCTGAAGGACCATTTTGCCAAGCAAAGTTCAGTGGTCACCTTCCTATGGATCCTGCATGTCCAGTCAATTAAGCAGTCCAGGCAAAAACTGTTTCTTGCCCAAATGGCTATTTTTGCCAAGAAGAAGATAAACTCCATATAGAGTGTCTTTGATGTCTATCCTCCTCTCTGAAGTAAATCCGGTGCTGCCAGGAGCAGACATGTCTCACTGTCTAGAAAGTCTAAATTTTTAAAACATTTTAAATACCATATTCTGTAGGTCTTTGAAGTGTTTGAAGATTACCTATCTATATGAAATATATCTATGTATACCTAGAAAACTTAACATGACCAAAAGTTTGACTGTCATAGAAGACTAATTGTTCTATTACAATTTAAATGAGTTGTATAAACATAATACCTTAAACAAGAGTAAAAATACACATACAGTATAACAAAATTAACTTTAAATTTGTATCAATAAACTAAAATCCATAACAATGTTTTAACAGAAAGTCAATAAAAAGACAGACACACAGGAAGTAGGCCTCTTTTGGAAGGAAAGGATGGCAGCAGCAGCGAAGGGTAAGAAAGGGTTTTTAGTATCAGCTCTTAGCTACTATTCTGACCTCTTGGGCTTTTAACTCTGCATTTGGCTCTGTGTTTCTTATTTAATAAGACTGTTACATATACATTTTACAGTATTTATGTGCCACTGATACCTTTATTTTCTCATGGTGAAGGATAAAAATATTTAGTTCTCCAGAATTAAAGACTAAGATTTCAAAGATTTTTTTTCTTATACAAATGATATTTATAATAATTTTAAGACAAGTTTTTAAAACTTTATCAAGATAAGTAAGGTCCCTTAGTTTCTAGTTTCAAAAACTCAGAACATAGTCCACAGCATTTCCCTATGTCATATTATGACACCTTTGGGGATTTCTTCACTGTAGCCATTTTAAATTTCCCAGATCATACAATAAATAACAATATTGCTTCATGTTTTATTTTTAGGGAGAGTCAAGTCAACCTAAAACTCATACTTTCTTAAACATTATTGGTGGAACCCTAATGTTAAAGATGAGCTTAAACAAACAATCCTACACAGAGGTGGGGTGCCGCCTTCAGATTTCTCTTGAAATGGAATGTACATGTCAGAGTGGAAAAATAAGCTGCTGGGTACATCTATTCCCCAGAGTTCTCACAGAAAGCCCTACTGACTATCATCTGTCCATAGCACATCTCATAGTGACTGTTTTAATAAAAGGGACACAGCTGATTGATGCTCAGATACCCTATGTAGTCAGATGATATTATTTCTACACTGGCTGTCTTTATTTATATGTCCTCTACTTTCTTTGGTGAAGGATGTGAGAAACTTTAAAGCAGTTTTTACATGGTCCATCATGGTCATTGCTCATTTGCTTGGTCATATGCTCTGCACAGTGTGCTTCTCTTTATTCTTGACTTCAGAGTCATTTTATTCTGTCAAGAAATTTTGTTTTTATTTCCCTTTCATTTCTTTGATATTTTTAAGTACTTAAGCAAAGAAATATATTGTAGATCTTTATTACTTCAGATAGTATATTCCCATTAACTTTCATTAGCTTAAAATTAGTAAAGAGAAACAGATAGAAGTGTACTGAGGACCACCATGGAAAATATATACTGTTCATCATTTTGAGTGCCTGATAATAATGAAGAATGTGATTCTGATAATAATGAAGAATGAAATCATTCTGTTTTAAAGTATAGCTAAAATAAGAGAAAGCTAATTTGTGTATTTTACAGAGAGAGTAGAAGCCAAAATTTTCCTTAGTAACAAAAATAATTTTTAAAGATCATGACTATAATCTGCTACATATAACTTTGCTGGTTCTAAACACATGGATGTGTGTGTGCTTGAAAATCAAGAGATTCTGGGATCCAGAAGAAGTAAAATCAATATGTTGAGATACCCACATTCAATGTTCATGAATCAGTTCACAAGTTGACAAGAAATGGAAAACACCTAAACATCCACTGAGGGTTGATAAATGAAGAAACATGTCATATATGTACTGAAATAAAGTCCTATCTTTCAAAAGCAGAAAATCCCAGCATTTGTGATACACTAATGAACCTCGATGACATTATGCTAAGTGGAATAATCCAACACAGAGAAACATACATGATCTTCCTTACACATATAATGTATAAAAGCTGAACTAATATAGGCAGAATGTAGAATAGTGTACGTTAAGTGATACTGTGTGGGTTGGGCAATACTGGGCAAAGCATATGACCAAATTTTCAGCTAATCAGGATGAGTGAGTTTTGGAACCTGTTGCATAGCACAGTGACTATACTTAATAATAGTGTATAGAGTACTTGACAATTTCTAAGACAGTAGATTTTAAATTTTCTTATCACCCACACAAAGGTAAGAATTTTAGCTGATAGATATCTTAATAATTTGACTATAGAAATCATTTCACAAGATCAGGGTGTATCAGGACATTGTGTTGCATATAATTACTGTGTGTGTGTGTGTGTGTGTGTGTGTGTGTGTGTGTGTGTGTGTTTGTCCGTAACATATCAATAAGGAAAAATAGGACATGAATACATTAATGGAGTTGTACTGAACATTTTCTTTTGCTATTTTACACATAGTTTAATATATTTGTTCTTGCCCTAATTTCATTAAATGTATCATTATAAGACAATGTAACATCTTTATAGTCTTATCATTGACATTTATACTATTGATTTGTATGGGTCATATTTACATGTGATGTGAAGTGGTGATTGTGTGTCTTTAGTTTTCTGAAGGAACTACTTTGGCAGATTTTGTTCAGAAGTAATTTTCTAGGTTGACTTTGGTTCCACACATGCACAATGTAATTAGGTTTCTGTGTCTGACTTGTTTTGTGAAATATAATGTCCTCCAGTTCTATCCATTTTGCTAAAAATGACAGGATTTCATTCTTCTTTATGGGTGAATAATGCTCCCTTCAGTGAGATTAATCTCTGGAAGGCATAGAGCCAAGTACAAAACAAGATAGGATGCTAGAAGAGATAGCCTCAAGGGGTTGCCAGTAGTCATTAAGACTTCCTTGCAAGGGGAATTTTCTCACAAGACAGATTTTCAGAATGGTCTCTTGTGTTTCTCTGTGTTGTCATGATTCTTACTGCCCCAATATTGATACCATGATTACAATTTCATTTCCCAGGTGTGATGCAGCCTGCAGCTTCGTGTTTAGCTGGATTCTTCATGGCCTTTCTTCTCTTACAGATCACCGTACTCACCCAAGGTAGAAACATCCTCCCCATTTTATTGACTAAATTTGTTCTTTGACAATTTCTCACAAGCTTACAAAACATTCTGTATATTCTCCCCACAAACCTCTCTAATTCCCATTTCACTCTTGTCATCTCCTCTTTTCCCGATGACATGTCCCCTCCTCAGAATCATGCTTTTTGCTTTGTTTTATAACCCACTGATTCTAATCAGGATTGTTTGTGTGCCCAAAAGTTTGAGACTATCTTTTGGTGCATGGTGGACTCAAACAATAGAAGTCAATGACCGTCTCTGCCTTAAAATCCATCAGTAGCCAATAGTTCAGTGTTGATGGAAATATAAGACCACCACTCATGGGTATGAGTAATTTTCTGAATGATGATAATATCAGGCTCAGTCTTATGAAGGTCCATTGCAGGCTACTGAAGCTGCTGCAAGATTGTGTTTACAATGGTTGCGTCATTCTTTAAGACAGCATTTTGTAGCAGTTTTCCCTATCACCTGGCTCTTGCATTTTCTCTGCTTCCTCTTCCCCGTTGTTCCCTGACCTTTTATTATCATTTACTGTATCTTGAGCATCCACAAGTCTCTGTATTCACAATACAGTAGCATAGGAAGGCCAACAATAGGCTAATGGGACTTCATAAAATTAAATAGTTTGTTAGCAAAGGAAATTATCAATAAAATGAAGAAGCAGCCTTTAATTCTAAAGGCTGGAAGGCAGAGACAGGTGGATCTCTGTGAGTTAAATGCTTCTTTGGTGTACATCAAGAGTTCCAGGCCAATCAAAACTACATCAGGAGACCCCCATCTCAAAAACAAAACAACTAAACAAAACAAAACAACAAAAAAGGGAATATTTGTAACAACAATTCAAGAAAAAGAGACCAGAAATTGGAGAGCAAGGGGTGCATGAGAGGGGTTAGATGGAGAAGGAATGAAAGAAATTACATGACTATAATGTCAAATAGCAATATTATCTGCAATATGTTTTTAATGAGGAGAGAATTGCATCACTTTCTCCCCTCCAGGTGCTCTCGGGTATCCTGTGTTCAATTCTTCTTATGTCCTTCCCCTAATCTCAAGTTGATAGCTTCTTTTTCTTTAATTATTATTGTCATGCACAAATGTATAAATATAATCTGTTGATTTTTTTCCTGCTATTTGTATGCATATTGTCTCAGGGCTGATCATTCTGCATTGGACAACCAATGAAGGGGCACCTTCTCACAGCAATCATTAGTTGCTTTTACTTCTTTGTCTGGGGTTGGATCACTCAAAAATTTCCTCCTTCAACATTAATGTGCCTGTTAATATTACCACTGTTCTAGTCTTGTTTACTAGTCATCTCTAGGAGAGACTGTCTCAGTCCAGACCTGGCTTTCTGGCTCTTACAATCTTTCCACCTTCTGCTTCTGTTATGTTCCCTGAGCTGTAGATCAGAAACTGTAATATAAATGTAGCTTCCGGGTTGGGCTCTCCACAATCGTTTGATCCATACATATGTCTAGCCACAATTTCTGGGATGGTCTCCATCTTCTGTAAAGGGGTATTTGTTAGATGAGGGGGTAGTAGCTTCACCTGAGGACATAAATTTTAAAAGATCTAATAGATAAAAAACCAAAAAAAAAAAAAAAAAAAAAAAAAAAAAAAAAAAAAAAAAAAAA